GAAATCAATCAGTCAGAGAAAAACAAATATCATATGACTTCACTTTATATGAGGACTTCAAGATACAAAACACATGAACATAAGGGAAGAGAAGCAAAAATAATATAAAAACAGGGATGGGAACAAAACATAAGAGACTCTTAAATATGGAGAACAAACAAAGGATTACTGGAGGGGTTGAGGGAGGGGGGATGAGCTTAATGGGTAAGGGGCATTAAAGAATCTACACCTGAAATCATTGTTGCACTATATGCTAACTAACTTAGATGTCATACAGAAACTGGTCTGACAGCGGGCAATTATTGTCCTTCTGCTTCTAATCTCAGCCTCCAAACCAACTGTCAATAAGATGTGTAAAGCCTGGTCCCAAGAAGAAAAGGTTTTTTAATAAGATAAACATGCTGGAGAAGTATACCTATAGATGTATTGTCTCGTGGCAATAAACCCATTGGTCCATAAATGAATCGTGGTAGGAGGTGGACCGGAAACAGTGAATGAAGACTGAGTGGGCCTTGGTAGCTGCCTTTGAGACTTCTGAGGGACAGAATTTGGGACCCCCACAAGGGAAATGTAGGGGGAGTGACGACAACGATCTGGTCCTGGGTTTGAGGAGTTTCACGTCACAGTGGGACTTTCAAAGATATTTGCAGCAACCAAGTAGAAATATAAGATCAGACTTAGAATAAGGACCTAGCATGAAGACAGATATATAGGGGTCGCCTTTATGGAAGCACTGAATGTGGCTAAATTCATAGTAGCTTTGAGTGTGGAAAGGGGATTCTTCATTCAGAACCCATGCCAATGGATGTAATTTCGGGATCTATAACCCCCCTAAATATACATACAACATTTTATTTAGATGTTACTGGATGCCCAAATGGATTTTTTTTTTTACAAATAGTTTACTGTCAGGTTGGTTTCCATATAACATCCAGTGCTCATCCCCACAAATGCCCTCCTCCATGCCCATCTCCCCCCTCCCCACCCACATCCATGAGTCCTCAGTTTGTTCTCAGCATTCAAGAGTCTCTCATGGTTTGCCTCTCCCTTTCCCCCACCATTTCCCCCCTTCTTCTCCCCATGGTCCTCTGTTAAGTTTCTCCTAATCCTCCTATACGTGCAAACATATGATATTTGTCCTTTTCTGCCTGACTTATTTCACTCAGCATAGCACCCTCTAGTTTGATCCATGTTGCTACACATGGCCAGATTTCATTCTTTCTCATTGCCATGTAGTATTCCATTGTATAGATAAACCACATCTTCTTGATCCATTCATCCGTTGATGGACACTTAGGCTCTTTCCATGTTTTGGCTATTGTTGAGGGTTCTGCTATGAACATTGGGGTACATGTGCTCCTATGCATCAGCATTTCTGTGTCCCTTGGGTAAATTCCTAACAGTGCTATTGCTGGGTCATAGGGGAGTTCTATTGTTAATGTTTTGAGGAACCTCCACACTGTTTTCTAGAGGGGCTGTACAAGCTTACATTCCCACCAACAGTGTAGGAGGGTGCCCATTTCTCCACATCCTCGCCAGCATCTAGAGTTCTCTGATTTGCTCACCAAATGGAATTTTTGATTGGGACAGATTTCAAAGGGACATGCCAGAGAAGAATGTGAAATTTCTCACAGTAGGCAAAGACACATGGATAGCTCACTGATATTGAGGAAATAAAACAATGAGGAGTTGGAGAGCAGAGGGGAAGTTTAAAGCAAGGTGGTCTCCTGTCTGAACCTCACCAAAGCTATGAGCTGAGACTGGCTCAATGCTTTTTGGCTGGGCATCCAAGAAGGCGCTAGGCTGGAACTGTTCTGAGCAGAGAGAGCTGAAGTAAGAAGGTCCACACACCTCAGCTGAGAGAAACCAAGAGAGTCCCATGGGGCAAGTATTGCACTGCTGTGACTGGCAGAATAATGTCCCCCCCCCGAATGTCCCTTTCCAACATGGAATCTCTAAATACGCTACCTCCAAAAGCAAAGGAGATTTGCAGGTGTGATTAAGTTAAGGAACTTGAGGTGGAGAAATCCTCCTCAATTATCTGAGTGGGCTGAATGTAATCACAAGGGTGAGAGGGCAGTGGAGAGTCAGAGAAGGGCAAGAGGCAGAGTGAGGATGCTGCACTGCTGGCTTTGAAGATAAGGTAAGGGGTCAAAGGTATGGCACACAGGTGGTCCCTAGAAGCTGAAAAAGGAAGAAAACAGTTTCTTCCCCAGGGCCTTCAGGAGTGCAACTCTGCCAACACCTTAATTTTAGGACTTGTAATCTCTAGAACTGTGAAATCATAAATCTGTGTCGTTTTAAGCCAATGTTGATGGTAACTCATTACAGCAGCCCTAGGAAACTAACATAGCTGGCAGGAGAGCTGCGGAGGAGAGGTTACTAGCCACAGAGGATGGGGGAAAGCCAGGAAGGGACCTGCAGAACAGTACACTGCACAATTCCACCAAGTTCAGGAACACAGCAGCTGGAACCAAGTAGGGATTTTCCAGTCCCCCTACCCCTTCCTCTTCTCCTGGTCCCCACATTAGAAAGGTCCTAAGACCTGTGGCTGGTGAGACGGGGCAGATGGAGAAAAAAAAAGAGTATCACTCTACCCCACAGGCAGACCTCCAGGAGGGAGAAGTACAGCTTCACCATACATTCTAAGCCCTGACCATCTGAAGAGACTGGTTCTGATCCCTGGATTGACGCTGAGAGTGCCTTGAAAGGTTGCAAGGGACAAATAGCATGGCCAAGTCTGTTCCATGGGTAAGCAGAAAGTGAACATAAAGCTGCGTCATGGCTTCACCCTCACTGGGAGTCTGCTCCCCATACGGAGCACATCCTCTATTTTCTGGGGAGCATTGGCTTTTCCAAGAGGGCCCATGTACCTCCAAATATTAAGAATTATTAACACAGGCTGCCCCATTACTGCTGCCATCATGCCAGCCCCCTGGATCTTAATGAGGCCGGGTGATGCTTCAAAACAGCAAGCCAGCTAGTTTGGAAGCAGATTGGACCCAGTTTCATTCAGCATTGCTACCAGTTACTTGATAACGACAAGAGCCCAGCTAGGCACAATTTATATTGATGCATCATGGGAAGGACAGCAGTTCCAGGGGAAAGCTGTCTTTGTGGAGAAGTTGTCTAGCCTTCTGTTCCAGAAAATCCAGCACAGTATCACAGCACAGGACCCTCAGCCCACACCAGATATCTACATCATCAACATGGTTGTGGGCCAGCTCAAGACTCATAAAGACCCCTATCATGGGATATCACTAGATGCTCCTATTAAAGAGCATCAATGATACTTGGGTTTGCATCAATGACATATTCAGGCTTGCCATGCACAACTATGGCTAACCTCCCTCCCAGCCAGGTACTTATGCTATTTCATCCTCCCTCCTCTTCCTAATATTTTTCACATTTCTCCAGATGTTCCAAGAGAGCAGGGCAACAGTGAGAGTGGGTTCAGCGTGCTGCTGCTGTGGAGGTTTTGTGCATGATGTTTGGACAATAGACTAGTTGCATCTGACAGAAGAAATTTGTGTTGTACCAGGACATGCCTTGGAAATGAAGGAGTGTGGGGCAAGCTGAGAGCAAACTACAGGCTAACAGCATTCCTCTCCCCAGGTGGAATATGTGTGATATTCCTTGGATACTCCTGGCTACCCAAGAAAAAAGGAAAGCAGTTTAAGTGCTTGCCGTGGTAATGTGGAAAACTAAGGCAACTGAAAAATTAACCAGCAGAATGACCTTCCTCTAGGAGCTCAGCTGCCTTGATGATGACACTTTTCTAGGGGCAATAGAGAACTTTAGGTTAACATTATCCCAACCTCAAGGATCCTGTAAGTCTCCTTCCTTTATCTCAAGTCCCCCAAGATATATGCTGGCAATCATACTCCAAGCTTATGGCCCCCTGATGTACATCTGAAGGGTCTCATGATTGAGGTTTGACCAAACAGTAATAAATAGCATTTCCCTAGCAACAGCTAGCCCCTCAAGGTCCTGGAAACCTTGCTTTCAAAATACCCTAGAGACTTACTCTATCCCTGACTCCCTCCCAACCTCAGGGTATATACTTATTTACCCGTCACAAACCCAGGGCAGATTTTCCTGCCCATGGGTCTTGTCCCCATGCTATAATAAAAATCACCTTTTTGCACCAAAGACATCTTCAAGGATTCTTTCTTGGCTGTCAGCTCTAGACCACCCCACCATCACCCCAAAACTTCATCAGAAAGATTTAAATAATTGAAAGTGTTATCTTCTATTTATTTATTTTTAATCTCCTGACAAGTTGCTCTAGTAACTCAAAAAAGTGAAGAAGAAAGCAGCTGTCTCACCACCCAGATATTGATTTGTTCAGATGTTTCAATGCCTGATGGTACAACAAAATCACAAAATTTTCTTTAAAAAAGAATTATCAGTGCAGAGGAAGAGACCAAGGTTTGGGCCTGAGGGAGAGCTAGTATCCTGGCCAGCTAGAGAAAGGGGAGAGGGAGACCAGGAGAATACAAGGGAAACTCAAAGGACTGGGCGGATGTGGTGTTCACTTGGCTGACTGCTCTTGCTCCACTGCTCTGGGATCCAGCAGCCCCCGTGTCTCCATTGCTTCCTGCCACTCCAGACTGCCCACAGCTCAGCTGAGATGGGTTCAGTAGAAAGAGGCCCCTGGCCTGGCTTCCATCCAGATAATGCTGGGCCAGCAGGGAAGTGTGTGTTGCTAAGACAGAAGCCCCCCAAAACAGAAGAGATGAGTGTTTGCATAAGTGCATGTGTGTGAGTGTATTTGTGACACAAACACATGCAAAAAGGAGAAATGCGAGCAAGCTTGCCAACCAAGGCAGGGTGTTCTTGCTCCTCTGCCAGGTCCAGCTGCAGATGGAGATGGAAGAGGAGGGCTGTGGGTGTCCACTAACCATTTAAATCCATCCAGCCACAGAGGGTCAGAGTGATCCTACTGGGCCCTGGAGGGCAAGGAGGGGCTCTTTCCGTTCTTCCCCAGCTGAGGGACGATGGCCAGACCCTGGCAGACCCCACAACTCCTGCTGGCCAAACTGGTGATCCTGGTGACCCTCACCCACCAAGTAAGAAGGAAAACTTTTATTAGTGTTGAAGAAGTACCTGTGTCAGAGCCCTATGTGATAGCCACCATGCAGTTTGTGATCAACGACTTCAACAAGAAGAGTGATGACAAGTACAATTTCCGAATTGTGCGGGTCCTGAAGGTACAGAAGCAGGTCAGTGAAGCCCCCCTCTCCTAGCTATGCTCCTCAAAAGGGGACTCTCCAAAGGGGACACCCACACAAGTGAAATTCAGCCTTGTTTAGTTTGATGTGAGCATTTTAAGGAAAACATAAATTCACTGGAGTGGATGAAGTCACATAAATGATACCTAAGATTAGGGATTGACAGATTATACCCCAAGAGCCAAATATACCTGCTGTCTGTTTTTGTAAGCAGTTTTATTTGTTCCTAGCTACACCATACATATGCACATCATCCAGGGCTGCTTTTGAGCTGCTGCACCAGAGTGGAATACTTGCAACTGAGATTGCATGGCCTGCCAAGCCTAAAATGTTAACTATCTAGCCCTTTTCAGATAAAGTTTACAGACCCTTGCCCAAAACAGTTTGCATTATTTGGATTGTCCAAAAGGTGTCTTTGCCCAGAGATTGGTTTCTGGAGGATTTTCCTTGAATGGCAAAAAGAGGCATAGGGGTCAGATGGGAAGGAGAGAAAGAAACCCACCAACTTGTCCAGGATGAGATCCTTAACCTTAGGCACCATGCAAAGGAGTTCTTGCCACCAGAAGCTAAAAAGAAAAGACAAGAAGTCTTTTTATCTTCTTTCCACTTGTTCCCTACAGGTTACTGACCACATGGAGTATCATGTGAACATGGAGATGCGGCGGACCACCTGTCAAAAGCTAGAGATTACTAATTGCACGTTTCAGGAAGGGGAACTTTATAAGGTACATTATAAAGTGTACATTAACTCAGAAAGAAGTCACTGGGGTTTTCTGTGCTTTTGAAGAATGAAGTGGGGTAGAATTATTGGGGATATAGTCAAGCTTGCTTGAGAAGAAAACATAGGCTTGCTCTAAGAGGAAAAGTGAAGGTAAGAGTGACCAAGATCCTATCTGACAGGCACTGCTCCTTTGTTGTTGGAAGAATTATGGGAGGTGGAAGGGGTCCAGATGGGGAGAGCTAAGATGGCTGAGCTGAGGGTGGCAATTGGAGGCTGAGAAAAGTTGCTCATTACTAATATTTGAGCAATCAGTGAAAGCTTGCTGTTGCACCCAGATAAATACTGAACAATAGCCTGATGGGAGCACACAGTTACTGGACTACAAGCCTCTTCCTTTCATCCAGAGGCATTTGGGAAAACAGGAAGAAACAAGCAAATGGGTTCAGGAATAGTTCAGCTGCCGGTAGGTGGTGAGGAAGGCAGAGATGGTTACAACCCTGCATGTGTGTTATCTGCTGAGAAACCACTTCCCCTGACAGTGGCTTATTTCCCTAAGCATTTCATTCTTACCAAGTGTGGCCATATCTGAGGGATGCTGACCTGACCATCACCACTGCAATGTGTACAGTTGGTGTGGGCCCACTTGCACAGGAACCTTAAAAGTCTCAAGTCCTATAAGTCCCGAAAATCACTATGAGGATGATCATATATCCCACCTTGCCTAAAATAGTCCTGATTTATGCCTAGATTCTCAGTGTAATAATTTATAGCAGCCCCACTTGCTTGCAATGTGTCTTGGTCTAGTTTGTAAATTCTGTGATCACCCTGGTTATAGTGACCTGGATGTTATCAACACAGAAACGTGTCCATCCCTTCCTCACTTTCCACCTAGATAACTTTTCAAAATCTAGCAAAGCACACTTTCTTGGCTCTTCCCTGGAGAAGATCATGAAACCTATGAAAAGAATAATTTGATATAACAGTAGAGTAGAATTAGAGGATCTTCTTGATGTGAGTGATTATACTGGTAGAGTTGGTATTCTGATTTTTTTTTGGGAGAAATATAAGTGTTTAAGCCTCCCATCCCCACCCTATGCTTTCAAATGAAGAGCAAGAAAACAAAATCACACTAAGAAGTTATGTTTATTAATTTTTCATTATGGGACAAAAAAGGAAGTGAAAAAGAAAAGAGAAATCTTGGGAGAGAATAGGGACAAGGGAAGGAGAGAGAGGCTATGATGGATGAATGGGTGGACAGACAAATGAAGAAAGGTGCAAGGAAGGAAGGATGGGTGGCAATGGGTGGGTAAGTGGATGGATGGATAAATGGATGGATGGATGGATGGATGGATGGATGGATGGATGGATGGATGGTTGGATGGTTGGATGGATGGATGGACGGATGGATGGATGGATGGCTGGTTGTTTAAAAAATGGCTGGATGGCTGGATGGCTGATGGTTGGATGGATAAATGGAGCCAGCAAATGCCAAATAAGGGAAAGTGTGAAGTAAATAACACACATGAGTAAAAATAAAAAGGAAAAAATAATCATTAGCTCCCATTGTGAGTATGGCAGGATGGACCCTATTTCTAGTCTCCAATTTTAACCACAGGAGGACTTTGGGAAGGATGATCTCAGTGATACTACTATCAAGTGATTGAAATAAAAATAAAAATAAAATCATAACTGGACTTAAGGCATGGTGAGGTGGTGTCATTTTCCCCATCTACATGTCCTATATTTTCTTTCTCCTTTAAAATTTTCAGTTTGTATGTTGACCTTTCTTAAATATTGTTTTTGTTTTTTAGCAAATTGAGTGCTTCTACTCAGTGTTTGTTGTTCCCTGGTTTGAAAAGTACAAAATTCTGAACAAAACCTGCACTGATGGCAAGGTGTCCTGAAGCACACACCACCAATCATTACACATTAAAATATCATGCAATAAGCAATAAATCTCAATACAGAAAATAAACTTTTGTCAAACTATTATCTCAACACTTTTAATGTTTATTATTCTACTTTTCCTCCCAAACTCTTTAGCTCATAACAATATAATCTGAAGGTATTCTGGGCTAGGGAAGTTTTAGGATTCTAATGAGGTGATGTGGATAATTCCTGGCTTTATAACCTATACATGCATGATAAGAAAACTTCACCCCCATCTTCATAACAAGTAGGAGTCTTAAAACTTTACAGTAAGTAGAAAATGAGGAGGAGGAGGCGGAGGAGGAGAAGGAGGAGGAGGAGAAAGAGGAGGAGGAGGAGGAAAGAAGTTCTAAGTTACCTACATGATCAAATAAGATCATGCCATCTCTGAGGGGCCCAATGAAGACTACCTCTTTACTTGTCTAATGTGTTGAATAAGGAGAAATAATACAAGTAATTTTTTTAAAGATGAGTGTCTTTGTTGCTGACAAGGACTAAGTTGGGAGATATGCATTATTTTTGCATGAAAGTGCACATTCTAACACCAAACTCTAGAGTTAGACTTACACCCCCAGCATCAGCAAAATTGGACCAGAGTAGGTTTTTTCAGAGAAACTTCCTCTCCTAAAGTTACCAAGGAAGCTGCCTGTGTGGGAAGGAGGAATAAGGGGACTACCATGCCTACATTATTCTTCCCAGATAGGACAATCAGAATAATTCTTCCAGGAGAGATATGAGTAAAGATGGAGAGAAACCAGGAATGCCATGTCAAAGGGAATCCCTTCTCATGGGTGCCATATTAGCCATGGGAATAAGCAACTCCCGCTTCCACCCAGCCAACAGTTTCATTCAGGATTTTGAACAATATAATTTCATGTCTTCACTCCACTTCCTTCATGTGATCTCAAGAGGGCTGCCAACAACTCACTAGGTCACATCTGTCCTCATTCACATCCAGCAGGGGAGAAAAAGATCTCATCCTCAAAAGTTGAGGCAAAAGCCATGTAATTTAATACCACTTGGGAACTCTAGGTACATTATAGGATACATAAACACACACACTCACACTCATACCTCTCTGTCTTTCACACACATGCACACGTGCATGCCTGCAAGCACACGCGTACACACAGACACACACACACACACACACACACACACACACAGCATCACAGCATGTGTCTACCTGAAGGGAAAGGGAGTTGGGGTATTTACCCAACAGCCCCAGTTAATTATTGGCTGCAGAAAATTTCCTAGGAAGGAGGCATTAATTTCCTGGAACCGCAGGCCTGAGGTGGCTTGAACGCAGAGCAGGCAGCCAGAGATAAAGGAGCATAGATGCTGCATTTGGAGCTGGCGTTCATAGAAAGACAAGATGTGAGAGGATAAAAGTAGAGTGCCGACAGGGTACTCTTTCCACATGTGGACTGTGCGCTGGGATACAAAGTAGATACACTAAGTCTCTACCAGTGGGAGATAGGGGAGTTTTGAAAGAATAAAATGTTAGCGTTTTATGCTCCCTACCAAAGTTCTGGAGTGCTGAGGACCCTTTTTCAGGTGAGGCCCAGGAAAGATTGCCCTCCACCAACTATCCAGAAAAATGCTAGCCTACAATTTCCACATCTTTAACTGAGAATAACAGTACCTATTTTGAGGTATAGTTATAACTATTAATGATGATAGTGCATGTAATTGCTTAACACAGTGCCTAACTCAAAGCAAATATTTAAATAAATGTTAATGACTAGTAAGTTTACCTTCTGTCGTAATTTAATATTAATCAGTGATTCAACTATCTTCAGCATTTTAACTACTTTGTCTGAAGGCAGGGATTATTAACCTGGGATGGAATAAAGGAAAGGTAGAACGTTTGTGCCTGTTCATCTTTTGGATTTCTCAGCACACAGGTTTTTTTTATTCTCATTTTTAATTTTGAAACAATAAAAAGAAAGTTATAGGATAGCACAGAGAGGTCGCTTGCATACTTCATCTAGTTTCCTTGCATGGTCATATCTTTTGTACTTACAGAAAACTACCATAAGCAGGGTGACTGGGTGGCTCAGTTGGTTAAGCATCCAACTTGATACCAGCTCAGGGTGTGATCTCCCAGTCATGGCATTGAGCCTGCATCAGACTCCACACTGAGCATGGAATCTGCTTAAGATTCCCTCCCTCCCTCTCTCTCTCAAAATAAATATTAAAAAAAAAAAGAAAAAATGTCACAAGCAGGCAATTTACACTGATATAGTTTGCATGGTTATTTTGTCATATATGTAGATTGGTGTGGCTAGCACCACAATCAAGATATAGAGATACTCTTACAACCCCTTTAGAGTCAAATCTCCCTTTCCCCACCATCTGACACTCCTGGCAACCACTAGCTTATGCTACATCTCCTTAGTTGTGCCAGTTTGAAAATGTTATATAAGGGCGCCTGGGTGGCTCAGTGGGTTAAATGACTAACTTCAGCTCAGGTCGTGACCTCGCAGCTGGTGAGTTCAAGCCCCGCATCAGACTCTGTGCTGACAGCTCAGAGCCTGGAGCCTGTTTCCGATTCTGTGTTTCCTTCCCTCTCTGCCCCTCCCCCACTCATGCTCTTTCTCTAAATAAATAAATAAATAAATAAATAAATAAATAAATAAATAAAAAGAGAATGTTATATACATGGAATCATTATGGTATGTGACATTTTGAGATTGGTGACAATGCCATTGGGATCCATCCAACATGTTTTACGTTAGCATGAAATACTAACTGCTGAATAGTATTCCATGGTATACTCCAGAGCCACAGTTTAACTATTTACCTATTTTAGGATGTGTTTGTTGTTTTCAAGTTTGGGGTTATCACAAGTAATGCTTCTGTGAACAATCATTTACAGGTTTTTGTGTGGACACAAGTTTTCATGTCTTTAGGATAAATGCTGAGGAGTGCAATTGCTGCATCATAGAATAAAGTATTTTTTAGGGTATTCCTTAAAATAAACTGCCAAACTATTTTTCAAAGGATGTATCATTATATAATGCCTCTCTGTATCCCTGGTAATTTTCTTTACTAAGAAGTCTATTTTATCTGATATTAATATATCTCCTTTTATTATATTTACATAATATAACTTTTTTTCATCGTTTCACTTTCAACTTACTCACATCATTATATTTGAATTAAGTTTCTTATAGACAGTATATAGTTGGGTCATCTTTTATTAAATCAACTCTACCAATCTCTGTCCTTTATTTGGCTTATTTAGACCACTTACATGTAGTTTGCAAATATTATTTAATATAATTACTGACACTTAGGGCTTACATTTATTTTTTTCTTCTCTCTGCGTTTTGTTTCCATTTTCTTCATATTCCCTCCTATGAGTTACTTGAACATTTTTTAAAGAATTCCATTTTTTGTATCTATACTATTTTTGGTATATCTCTCTGCATAACATTCTTACTGGTTGTTCTAGATATGATATTATGTATACATAACTTTTCAGTCTACTGGTGTTGATATTTTATGAATTTGAATGAAGTATACAAAGTTTACCTCACACTTACACCTTTATTATTCCTCATTTACAAATATCCTAAATATTTCTTCTATATACATTGGAAACCACATAAGACAATGACACAATTTTTGCTTTAACCATCAAACATAATTTAGAAATTCAAGAGAAAGAATACCTATTGTATTTACCCATAGTTTTACTTTTTATGTTCTTGTTTTCTGATGCTCCAAGAGTCCTTCTCTTATACTGAATTTCCTTTTTATTCAGAAACCTTTTTTATCTATTATTTTAATGAAGATCTTCTGGTGCAAATTCTCTATTTTCCCTCTATGTGAGAATGGCTTGATTTTCCTTTTATTCCTGAAGGATATTTTTGGTGGATACAGGATTCTAGATTGACAGTTTTCTCTTTTAGCCCCTGAAAAACATTGCAGCACATCTGGTGTCCATGGTTTATGATGAGAAATCTGTTGTCATTCAAATTGAGTTTTAACCCTAAAGGGAAGGTGTCTTTTCTATCGCTGTTTTCAAGACTTTTTTCTCTGT